ACTTTTAACTGAGTGGAATTCTGATGTCATTTCCAGTATTGGGATTTCATAGCATAATACCAAGATGTCTGAGCTATCAAATTGGAACTTTAAGGATAGTTTTGCCTTAGACTCTGATTTAATTCTACATGATACTTGGAACGCTGACACCTGGATTCACAACTCCTGCTCAAGGAGCAGATGGCACTCATAGCTAGGAGGGCCTTTGTATAACGTTTTATACAACGGTCCAGTTTAGTCCGTTCTTGGATCAAGGGGGCTTGCTCACAGTCATTCAATGCCTTAGTGATCTCCCAGTTGGACTATTGCTACATATTCTACATGGGGCTGCCCTTGAAAACTATCCAGAAACTTTAGCTGGTGGAAAATACAGCAGTTATGTATGTTCCTGGTAGTACTCATGTTACACCTCTGCTGTGCAAGTTGCATTTGTTACCAGTTTGTTTTTGGATCCCATCCAAGGTGCCGGTATTGACCTAAATGACATGGGACCGGGATATTTGAGGGACAGTCTCTTCCTGATTTCTAATAGAGCAGACCTATTGTGGGTTCCATCATCCAGGAAGCCACATTTGATGAGCCCTAGGCAATGAGCCTTTCTGCTGTGGCTCTTGTATTATGGAATCTACTCCGCCCCACCACACCCATGAGGTCAGCGCCATCACTCTGGAGCTGTTGCAGGTCCTTCAAGACCTAGTTGTGCCAGCAGGCCTGAAGACACCAGGGGGCAGGTGAAATGGTAAAAGAAAACTAGTTTTAGATTATGTACACAAGGTAAATTTTATTTTCCTTTCTTATTTTCAAAATAAACTGGAATAAATGAGACTCGGGAAATAGAAATTAAGAAGCTTTTGTTTACAATGCTCCTTGCTAACAGATGACATGTTTAATATAGCTCAGCCACACAAAACAAGACTGCATAAAACTCCCAGCGTCATCACAATCTTGCGGACCAAGAATCAATACAAATGGAAGAGTAAGTAGACTTACTACTACTAGTACCTCCGGCACGAAGACCCTCCATTTTCATAAGTGGTAAGGCTTTTAATTTTCACTTAGATCCAGGAGTTGGAATTCACCACAATTCTTAATTACTGTAAAAGGCTCCTGCCTTCTGGTGGCAAAATGTACTTCAAAAATACTGCTCATTGTGACTCTTGTGCGCTTATTTCCAACATAATGGAGAAGTCATTTTTAACTATGAGGAAACGATTTGCATGGTCAAAATCCATCCAAACCCGAAGCTTTTATCTCATGTTTTGTAAATCTCACATGCTGCATGTAACAAAAGTTCCGTTGCAAATTCAGAAGAAATTAAGAAGTGCAAATACTTTGTGCTTCCTCCTTATTGTGCATCCTTGCAATGGCCAGGCCTAACTTAACTGGATGTTCTGCAATTTGTCTCATATTCAACTCCAGGCCAATACAATTCTTTTTATTATTGATAGCTTTAATTTCATTATTTATTTATTTAGAAAGACAAGAGCCAAAGCTTCCCAGATTTTTTAACCTAACACTGCAGGTTATAATTATTGGAATAAAATGAAAGCCCAATTTTGCTGTTTAGTTTAAAGCCAGCTATAAATGCCCCAGAAAGTGTCGTCTTCCATTGTAAAAATATCATAGCTTTAGTACCAATCGATCAGACATACGGGGAAAAAATCTACTAGAATCATTTTAAAGCAACGCACATTTAAATCTGAGCAAAGGAAACACCATCTAAGCCAGGGCTGGACAAC